AGGACTCCTACTAGATGACTCCTGATGTCCATCCAGCCCTATATTTTAGATCTTGTGCTAAACAGTGACAACCACAGAGGACCTCTGCGTATAAACAAAATCACAGCAGTTGACACGTCTATATCTGACCCCCCACAACAGTACTGAGCAGCAGCTACTATTATTATTCCCATTTTCCAGATAAGCCTCAGAGAAGCTGAGTCACTTGCTCACACAGGAGTAACCGTCCTAGTGCATCTCTGAAAAGCCCAGTTGGGCACAAGCCCCTCAGGCTTTCTTGTTCTCTATAGGCTGAGGAAGGCTTCCCAGTCAGAGAGGAAACGACCTCTCTATTCTTTTGTAAAGTGCATCTTGGACCAGGGGCTCATTCTGAATCTGGATATTCTCTCCATTTTTCATGCCACCTTTTTCTTTCTCACCTCCAAAAATTTTTTAAAAAACAGACTGTCATTGACATCTTTTGTTTTTACATTATCTGAACTTTCCAATATATTATATTCCTAGAGAGTCATTCCCTCATAGCAAAGAATGTTTTTTTAAAGAAAAAAAAAAACATTTCAGCAAAACTAGCTGTCCAAGAAAAAAAAAGTCTGACATTTTCTGTAGTATTCCACATCTCTGTAAAGATGGTAGGGGATCATTTCCTGTTTTTCAATGTTTTGCTTCATTTTCCTTTCTTTTCAGGTTCCAGTCTTCTTCAGGGTCCTCTCTTAGTAAAGAGGGATTTCCCTGAAAGCTAAGCCCTTGAATTCTGCCTCTTGACATTGACTGTGTGACCCTGGAAAAGTCATCCTCCTTTCTGATCCCATTTCCTCATTTGTAAAATGAGGATAATAGCATTCATAGCCCTTACTTCCCTCGGAGAGTTTTTGTAGGGGATCAAATGAGATCTTAGCCTCATACATCTAGAGCTGCAAGGTGCTTCAGAGACCATCTAGGCCAACCCCCTCATTTTCCAGGTGAGGAAACTGAGGCTAGGGAAGGGAAGTGATTTGGCCAAGGTCATACAGGCAATGAGCATCAGAGATAGGATTTGAACTTTTGTCCTCAGATGTGTTGACTAATGTTCTTTCCTTTGTATAATAAAGACTTTGCCCAATTTAGGGAGGTAGCTGAAAGTTAGTAATTATTTTGTCTGTGGCTTAGAGGCAGCCTGCCATAGTGGAGAGCCAGTTTTAAAGTCAGGAGACCTGGGTTTGAATTCTGCCTATGCCCGGGACCAGTAACTTCACCTAAGTACCAAGGGAACTTTCTAAGGCTGTCAGTTACACAAACAGGTGTTGACTGTATCAGTAGGAGTTTCCTGATTGGCGGTTCCTTTTACCATTGGGGGGGTTCCCCACTATCACAGGCTTCTCCTTTCTCCTTAAAATTATTTCCAAAATGTGTCTTTCTTTTCCCTTTTCCATTCTGTGTTGCCACACCAGACCTTTCTAGCTACTCATCTTTTTATACATAAAGTAATATAACCCTGCTGTTATTTTGTCCAAATTATGGATGTCAATTGTCAACATTCAATTACTAACTCAGACACTCTATTTAAACAGATAGCTTTCCTTCTCTAGATTAGGACAAATATCTCACATTATATCTTCATCATTCAACTGATACTGTTTTCTCCTATTACCAAAGATCTCTTAGTCACCAAATCCAGCCGCCTTTTCTCCTCTTCCTACTTCACGGCCTCTGCAGGCTTGGCACTGTTGATCATCTTTTTTTTGACATTCTCTTCCCCATGGGTTTTCTATCCTGGTTCTGCTAAGCCTAACCCTTTAACTCCAACTCTGACCCTCCTCAGTCTCCTTTGCTGGATCTTCATCCTGGGTATCCTTGAGAAATGTGGGTGTCTCCCAAGGCTCTGTCTTGGCCCCTCTTTGCTTCTCCCTGCATCACTTGGTGATCTCATCAGCTCCCATAGATTCGATTTTATCCTCTATAATGATGATTCTCAGATCTACTTATCCAGCCCTAATCTACCTCCTGACTCTGTCATGGCATCATCTCCCTGATGTCATGGTCCTCTTCGAGAACAGAGGACAATCTCCTGACCCACAGTCTCACATCTCCAACTTGGACATTTCAAACTGAGTGTCCCATAGACATCTTAAACTCAATATGCCCCAAACTGAACTCATTATCTTTCCCCCTAAATCCCTCCTTCTTTCTAACTCAATTACTGTTGAGGGCACTCAGGCTCACAACCTAGATGTCATCCTCCCTCTTCACTCTCTCTAATTCCCATATCTCATTTGTTACCAAGTTTTATTAATTCTTCCTTCATAATAGCTCTCCAATGGGGCAGTTAGGTGGCACAGTAGATAGAGCACCGGCCCTGGAGTCAGAAGGACCTGAGTTCAAAATCAGCCTGGGACACTTGACGCTTACTAGCTGTGTGACCCTGGGCAAGTCATTTAACCCCATTGCCTAGCCCCCCCCCAAAAAAAAATCCACCCATAATAGCTCTCCAATAGGAGATCTTCTCCAACCTTCTCTTCTCTGTTATTGCTGCAACCCTGGGGGTAGGTCATCACACTTTGGACTAATACAATCACCTGCTGGTAGGTCTGCTTCCTATGAAGTTCCTCCCCACTCAACTGTCAAAATGGTCTTCCTAAAAAACAGGTCTGACCAGGTCACCCCACCACCACCCCATTCAATGAACTCTAGTGGTTCCTAATTGCCCCAAGAGCCAAAGATCAAATCCTGTGTTGGTGTTTCCAAGCCCTCCATGACCTGGTCCCTTCTGACTTTTCCAGTCTTCTTCCACCTTCCATCCCCCATGCTCCCTGTGATCCAGTGCACTGCCTCTTACTGCTGCTTCCACTCTAGGCTTTTCCACTGACTGAGCCCCATGCTTGGAATGCCCTCCCTCCTCATCTCCACCTCCTGGCTTTGCTCAGGTCTTTGCTAAAGTCCCACTTTTTGCTAGAAGCCCTTCCCAGTTCTCCTTCCTCTGAGATTCGATCCAGTCTATTGCTGTCTTTCTCATTAGATTGTGAACTCCTAGAGAGCCTTTCTTTGTATCACCAGTTCTTAGCCCAGCATCTGGCACATAGTAGGTGCTCAATAAATGCTTGTTGACTGGTTTGAAACAGAAACAGTGGCATCTAGATATCAGCGATGATATCATAGGTGAGTAAAAACACCCAAGTACACACGCAACTACAAGGAGAGTCAGAATCAGATCAACAATGACAGCAAGAAGGCGTTGAGAAAAACAAGGTGACTCGTTAGGTGAGCAGTCCATGGCCCCCATTTTGTAAGAGGCCTTGCAAATTCCAAGCAAGCTCCAGAGGGCAGAGGATTGGTGGGAAAGTAGGAGGTGAACACAGGCAGGACAAGCAGATTCCTCATCATTGTCTGTAATACTATTACAGGATTAGTTCCTATTGATTTCTAGTTTGTGTTCAATCTAGTTTATGTTCTGTGTTAAGCTGTTTTGGACCATCCATCTCGTTGCTTCAAAAATGGAATGCATGCAGTTTCATATCTGGAGAGGGCTAAAAAATCCCAATTGCCCACTTTTTCTTCTTTTTGGCACTTACCTAATTAAAGTCCTGCTGGTTGAGGACAGTTTCTTTCTCTGATTTTCCATCATTCTTTTTGAGCTTTTTTCACAGGGCTGGGTCAAAGTAAAGCAAACTTCCGTGAGGGGGCTGAGATGTAAAAACACATTCCTCTTGCTGTATTGTTATACAGCTGTAAATTATGTTACAAACAAAAGGAGACCAGGATTACTAATAACTATATCTGACTCTCTGTGATTTTATTAGTTTCAATGACTTCTAGAGGAGGAACCTCCCTCCACTAACGAAGATTGCAACTGTTCTGCCATTTAAAGCCCTGGAGAGTGACCTAGGCAAGTCACTCTCCTAGCCAGAGGCAGCTCTGAGTGTCATTAGCAAGGTTTTAAACTCTTTCCAATTAAAAGAGTGAAAGGTGGCATCATCACAGTAGAGTAGATGGAGCTAACCTTTGAGCAGCAACTCCTGGGTTCATGACACATATCGGCTGTGTAACCCTGGGCAAGTCATTTACCTCTTAGAGCTCTAGTCAACTCCCTAAGAGCATAAAGAGAAGGTGATGACCAGCATTGGTGGGGGAAGTTGCCTCACCTGGAAGTTCTCTACGCCATCAAAACCACAGGCTCAGTCCCTTTACTACTATGTCACTTAGCAGTTCACAGACTTGAACACAAGGAAAACTTTGAGCTGGTGGGAACCCAGTGGAATTGGCTCATTTGAAGGAAACTTGGGCAAAATTGTAGTAAGTTCAGGAACATTCCTGATGATCATTTAGTGATATTTAGAGTAAATGATGACAGAAGCAGACGGGTTGTTCCCAGGTCAGGGCTAAGAGGGGATAGGTGCACGTGTGAACAGTCAGTCCTACTATCTGGGGAAGCCAAGAGAAAATGATACAAGCCTCCAGTATGTTGGGTGGATCTCCGGTGCTGAACTTTGGAAAGGATATGGATGAAAGTCTTGCTGGAGGAGCAGGAATGGATGTGCATGGTCGGTGGAAGCTCTCAAATGAAAGAGACCACAGACAGATTTGGGGCATTTGAGAAGAAAACAATGGTGACCTTCAAAACACATTTTAAGGTTTTCAGAATACATTATATATCCTATCATTCGATCCATAGATATAAGGTCTATGCTGTAAGTATTAATAGCATCCCTTATTTTACAGATAAGGAAATTGAGGGCTCAGAGAGGCTAAGTGATTTGTCCATGGGCACAGAGCCAGTTTCAGACACACTCCTTCCATGATACCATAAAGCCCCAATATTAACATATGGAACATTTTTCATTTCATTTCTAAGTTACATAGTTTTTGATTTGGGTTTTTTTTTTTAATGAGTACATTTCTAACTTACTATTTTCCTTTCACTCCCCTCCCTTTTTGTAGTACTTTATTTTTTCCAATTACATGTAATGACAATTTTTAACATTCATTTGCAAAAGAAAATTGAATTCCAAATTCTCTCTCCTCCCCTCCCTAAAATGATAAGCAATTTGATACAGTCCATATATGTGCAATCATGTAAACGTATTTCCATATTAGTCATGCTGTGAGAGAATACTGTTTTCCTAAACAGTCCTTGCAGGTAGTATTTCAGATCATTAAATATTTCTTCTGAAAATAGTTACTCTCATCATTTTAATTTTCTACTGACATTTTGGGTTGAGGTTTTAAAGTATGTGATGCTGACTCTCCAGACCTCTCCCCAGACAACCTCAATTCTATCACCAATTAAAATTCCTCCAAATGACCTGACAGACCTCCTCGTTTTCTCTCACGACAATCAGTCCCATCTTTTCTTTTGTCTTCTTTTTGTTAAATTTTTAAAAATATATCCAAAGTCTCCCTCCTCCAAAAAAAAACTACTTTAATTTCTCAGAATGAAAACTGATGCCCAAAAAAAGCGACTTCTTTAAAAAATAATAACTTTACAGACTCAATACTGTATTCTAATGCATATAACTGTTCGCCATCACTCAGATCAACTAGAATTTCCTTTTGAGAGGTGGTTGGTCTGTGGGTATTCACATATAAAACAACATCATCTTTTTGAATTTCCCATGTCTATTCTGTCAGTTTCCTCATGTGAACAACACTGATGGATTCATCTCAGTTCTATCCTTTTCAACTTGGTGTCTTTGGTTCATTTTCTGCTTCAACTCAGATGACAGCCTTCATGTCTGACTACTTCCCCAGTGACCCAATTTAATTTTTAAAATAGACATATATGTATATATAAATATACCCACATATATGTACACACACACACACACACACACACACACACACACACACACACACACACACACACACACACACCCTCAGGTCCCTCCTTCCACCAAATCCAGAGATTTCCTTCAGCTCCTGGCTTATAAATAATGGAAGCCTTGTCGCCAAAGTTAGTATTTCATCTGAGTTTCTCCCTATTTATAAATGCAGTGGGCTGGGGAAAGAAAGGTTCCCTCGGCCTCTTCCTGTTACAATAACTCTATTGTCATTCCCTGAAAGCAGGGGGGATTCGCTTACTCTTTCTTGAAGAGCACGGTCAAAGCAAATAGGTACGTTGTTGCGGCAAAGCTTCACCTGTTGCTTCTCATACTAAACAAAAGCATGCTTCAGCATACAGAAATCATCTGAAGCAAAGAAGCAGAACAAAAATTCTCCATTGCCCAAATGTAAAAGGTACTGTCCATCTGTTGGAAACAATTTCTCTCTCTACATCATTGTCAGTCTTTCAAAGTTTGCCTGCTTATGGAGGATGAAAAGGTTGGGTTACTAGCAACGGGAAATACAATACTCCCGGAAAAATGCTACCAAATAAAAGGTGAGTTTGGGGATCATGGCTTAGCTCTCCCTTTCTCCATTCCTCCAGAATTTGATTTGCAAATCATTCCACATTTACAGCTTTTGCCCCTGCTGTCTCTGGAAAGGGTTCTTCTAGTTAGAGCCTTATAGCTGTAATATATCTGGCAAATGATTAACTCTCTGTTCCCAAGACTTTCCTGTTTTAAGTTGGATGAGTTTCGTGATGGGGGGGGGGGGGGAGAAAGACAGAAACAGGAGTCACCCTAAAAGTCTGACTCTGCAAGCCGCTTTTAATGGTCCACACTAAAAAGAGGCATTCTTGTTTGGTGCTGCAGGATGGAAAGAAATCCAGACTGCCAAAATCACAGATTTAGAGCTGGCAGAGGACTCAGGGGTCATCCGGTCTGACCCACTCTCTTTACTGAGGAGGAGGAGGAGGAGGAGGAAAGGCCTACAGGCTCTTGACTTACTCAAGGTCACGCAGATGGAAGAACCCAGATGCAAAGCCAAGATCTGGCTTCCAGATTCCTCGATTTCCACTCCCCTGCCCTGCTTAAAAACCTTCTCGGTAGGCGTGGTTCTAAGCACACTGGTACCACCGTGGGCTGCTACTGACACTTTTAAAGTGCCTTTCCCATACAGGAAATACTGTCCTGGCACTTTGTAGAGAGAAGGTTCTGAATCACAATGGAAACTCCTCTTTGGTGGAGCTAAGTTTGAGAAGGCACTCTTCTCCTCCTCCCCCAAATAAAAAAGGGGGTGGTTGTGGAGGAAGGAACCCGTGAGTCTTTTGAAAAATAATTGTATTAAATAAACGCCAAATAGCAGGTGGTTTCTCTTAAAAGTCGATGCCTCATTGAGTCCTAAAATACCGAGAACTCCACGGTCCCTTCCATCGACAGGGTAATGAGGGCTCCCAGGGCATAATGTGGATATTAAGTTCAGATTGGGGGAGGGGGAGCAGAGCCGGTGGAGCTCCTGTCCCGCTGTACCTCCGGGCTCTCCCAAGATCTGGAGTCTGGAGGGCAGCGCCGGGGCGCCTGGGCTACTGCCTCTCATCGTGAGCGGCGCAGGGAAATTCCGAGTCCTCCTGGGGCTTGGTCCCGTCCGGGAGCAGGGTGGCCCGCACCTTCCTCTTCTCTTTGAACCTGCCGGAGCGCGAGATCTTCAGGTTGCGGCGGCTGCCGCCTGATTTCTCCTCGCCCGAACGATCGAGCCTGGTGTCGGCGGCGCCCGGGAGGCCGGGGTGCTGGCAGTCCGGGCTGGGCGGAGAGGGCTCCCTGGGGCCCCGCTGCGGGCCTGCAGGGGACGGAGGCTGCGCCCCTCCACTCCCGCCCCCACTACTGTCCTTGCCTTTCTTCCTGCTGCTGTTGGTGAATGATTTCCACCAGGGAGTGGAGCTGCTGCTGCTGCTGCCGCCGCTGCCCGGGCCGCTGCTGTCAGCCATGGCCGCTGTCCCGCTCCTGGGTCCCGGGAGGCCAAGGCCAGGTGCCTACTTACTTCTCCTCTTGTCCACTCCTGCCCCCTCCCAGCTGGAGCCGGGGGCGTTGCCCTGTGGAGGGAGAGGTAGCCAGGCTCAGTGACTCTTCCTTCCTGCCCCCGCCCCTCCCTGACACACCCCCTCCTCGGCTCCCCCCACCCCAATCTGGGCTCCATTCTGCTCTGCACCAGTGCGCCTAATCTCCGGGAGACCGGGAGGGCGGGAATGAGGGGTGCAGGCAGGCCAGGGGATATGAGTTCCGCGAAAGAACCTGAAACCAAATTCATCCTCCCCCCCAACCCCTCGTACCTGGAAACACGATCAGCTGAGCGCCCCCTGTCCCCCACAAGTCTAGGGTCGCCTGCTCTCCTCTGAGCTCGCAAACTGTCCCTGGGGGCCTCTGGGCTCGCAGAGGTGTGACCGCACCACCAGGTGGAGACTGCCTCCCAGGAGATCAGCCTCCAAAGGGCGGGTTAAACATGTGGTTTACCGAAAGGGGAATTCGGGGCTGAGGGGTGGAGTGGGGGTCAGGGCTCCGAAGAACTGGAGGAAAGCTTCCCGTCACTTGGATTAACAAGGTCCCTGGGAGTTCAAGGGAGTGGGGGTGGGGGAGAAACCAGACAGGTCTGTCCACTCAGCATGGGCAGACTTTGCACTACCCCTTGTGAGATGAAGGCTCTGGAGGCCTTTCCATGAGAAACAGGTGTTTAACCAAGCTTGGCCCAGGCCTCCCTGGTCCGGTGAAGGATGACAAATTGGAGGGGGCGGGGCAGGACTTTCAAACATTGCAGATTTTAGTTTTCTGGCCCATAGATAATAAGAGACTGCAATTTATACCCAAGTAAAAATATGAGGGCACTAGGCTCTAGTTTTTAAGAGACTAGGAACTCTTTTGCCCTATCTACAAAGGCTTTTGTACCCAGACTACTTGGCTCTGGGAAGAGGCCTGTCCCTGTCCCTCTCCCCCTCCCCCCTCCTCCCCTTTTTCCCTTGGCTATGTGGCTAACCTGCTACATTCTCTCACAGTCGGCACAAGGGGGCTTCAGAGTGTAGCCGAGCAGCCGAGAGTGGGGTAGACCCTGAGACACTATATTGTAGCCCGGTCTGTTATTGTGGGTTGGGCTCAGTCACTTATCTCTGTCCCCACAGGCGAGATAGTGGCAGAATGGGAAGGGCCCCTGGATGCAGCATCTGTGCACTGACTTGGTTTTGAATGGAAGCTCTCCCACTTAGGATCTGGAATGGCCCTTAGGGTTCATCTAATCCTAGTGGCTCAGGCAGGTTGAGGGACTTGGCCAAAGTTACATTAGTAGAAAGCAGGGGTGGGATTGGGGGCAGAGTCAGAAGCTTCCTTCCCCGGGATTATTGCTTGGTCAGCATCAGGCCTTGGGCAAATCCCTGGATCCCATCCTTCCTCAGGGGGTTGGACTAGATCAGGGGCTAAACTGGGATCTGTAAACTCGTTGTAAAATAATATTTTGATAATTACTTTTTCAATATAGTTAGGTTTCTTTTACAATCTTATTTTATTTCATGCATTTACAAACATTACTCTGAGATAACATCCATAGACTTCACCGGATTGTCAAAGGGGAGCATGAAGCACGCACACACACAAACACTAAGAACTCTTGGGAAGACAGTTTCTAAGGCCCCTGTAGCTCTACATCTATGATCAGTAAAATGAGAGTGTTTCTCCCCAATAGAAGCACTCCAGCATCTGGCTGTACAATCTTAAATTGCGTACCATGTGTTTAAAAAAATGCATCATAATTCTCAGACTTTAGATTTGTGAGTAGTCTTGAATGAAAGATGCTGAAAAGAAGAGGGAGGGGGGAGGGGGAAAGAGGGAGACAGACAGAGAGAGAGAGAGAGAGAGAGAGAGAGAGATCGGAAAAGAGACTGCCCAATTAAAGAACTTCAAACCTGTAACTAGGCTTGTTTCAATTCAGTCTTGATCTTAAGGGACATAAATGCCTCCTTTAGGAATGAAAGCAAGAGAGCCCCCCATTTAACTCTGGAGGTAAACAGTGATTACTCAGTGTTTTAACGTTCTCCTAAGGCAGCCTCCAGTTGTAGCACAAAGAGTAGGGGGCTTGGAACTCAGTTACAGCTGACTTCTGACCCATCATCCTTGTGTGCAGCCCTTTCTGACCAAAGATAAGTCACTTGCCCTCTGAATCTGCTCTCTGCTGGTGAGTGTTCTACCTCAATCTTGGGGGATGTTGTGAGGAAGCACTCTCTATAGAAATGTGACCTGTTATTATGAGGACTTTACACAGCTGATTTGTTCAGATCTCTGGTGCTCCAAGTGGGGCAGTGACAGTGATTTTTTTTCCAAAAATTTCTTTTTTTATAGGATACTTTTTAGAGTCAAAAGGGATCTCAGAGACCATTCAGTCCAAATCCCTCATTTCATCGATGAAGGAACCAGGGAGGTTCCCTGTGAGCTGCTCACAGACATACAGATATTAAGCATAAGGGATAGTATTGAAGCCCCAGTCCTCAGATAACCAGAACCAGTGGTCTTTCTACAATATCAGAAGCCCCTGGCATGTATTGGAAAGAGCCCTGACCTGAAATAGTTTCCAGCCCAGATAGGTCTACCAACTTTTTAGCTGGAACACTGGGGCAAGTCACAACTTCTCCAAATCTAGGAACATGAAGATAAAAGTCACAGGCTACCTTTGTGGACTTTGGAGGACTGTTGGGAGTTTTGTGAATTTCAAAGGGCTGGCCGCTAGAGAATCCAAACTTTGCTTGAGGAAACAAATCCCTTCTTTTGTCTAGGACAGGTCTGGGTTTTTCTCAGGCTGGCTGGATGAGAGACATCGTACTGTTCTTCTCCAGCTGGTCGGCACCTGTTACAGGGCCAGTACCCAGGAGGGCCACCTGCAGCTAAAATTGCCAAAACGCAGGTTCTTTCCCACTTCTAAGCCATATAAGCTTGTGGCCGGAGGCCACAAGGCCAGGTTCTTCCATCCTCTGTTCTCCGAAAACTGGCAGAAAGGCCGCAGCTGCCGGTCCGGGAACTGGCTGCTCTTCACACACTTATCTTGGGGGCGTGTAAGGCCAGGCCAGCGAGCAAAAGTCTTCTGACAACTAAGGGGCTGTTTGAAAAGGCGCTGGAGCAGCCAGACAGCCTGGGGCTGGCTTGCTCTTCCCAGAGTAAAAGCTCTCTCCCTCCCTTCCCGGCCCCCACCCTAAACCCCCACCTTCGGCTGATTCTCACCTGCTCTGGCTTCCTTTTCAGGGAAGAGCGGAGCGGAGAAGAAAGGGGCGCTCAGATGGGCTTCGGTCCTGAGGCGGAGTTGGGGATAGCTGAGGAGAGAGTGTGGCTGCCCTGCGCTTACTCCACTATGGCAGGAGAAGGTAGGGGGCAGTAGCCTTTCTCCGGCAGGTGTCCTGGCGCCAGGGGATGCTCCGTAGAAGGCACAGGGTTTCGGGATCCCATCCCCTCGCAGTAGGTGCCACCGGCCGCCAGTTCCCCCACAGGGAGGGAGATGGGTGGGTGGGGCAGCTGCGGAACTGCTTTCCCACGAGCTTAAGTATCTACAGCTCAGCCAGCTAGTGAGCTACCTCCGCTTGGGTCCCTCGGAGGCTCCTGGATGACCTTGGCCCCAGGGAGCTTGGCGCGCGCGCGCGGCTAGCCCCGCCAGGAGGAGGAGGAGGAGGAGGAGGAGGAGGAGGAGAAGGAGGAGGAGGAGGAGGAGACGGGCTACTCCCTTGGCGTTGAGGGGAGGGCGGGGTCCCCCGCTCCCGGGGCTTCAGGCATTGTCTGTCCTCCGCCTCCCTCCCGGGGCCAGGAGTGTCAAGGGGCCTGGCTCGGGGCGGCTGCAGAGGCGGCTGTGGACGTTCTCGGGGTTCAAGACTTCAGGTGAAGGTGAGAACTTGGCGCTGCCGCTTTCTGGCCGCCCGGATTGGGCCGAGGTGGCGCCAGCCAAGGGGGTTTGATTGGAGCTGCGGGCGCCGAGAGTCCGGGAGGAGGCGGGCTAGCAGACTGGCACACCTGGGCGGGAGTGAGGGGGCTGACAGGCACACCTGGGGGGTGGGGGAGCTGACGGGTAGCTGATGGGAGGGGGTAAGGGGGGGGGGGGGGGGGGGGTGAGCAAGTGCTCGGGGTGACCGAGATTCGGAGGCAGAGAGAGGCAGAGGAGAGAGGAGCAGGACGTCAGTTCACTCTCACCAGCCCCATCTTTGCAAAACTTCTGTTCTCCTAGTGTGCGGAGCCCCGGGACTTGGAGCCAGGAGTACCAAGGCACGTTAGCTGTGTCACCCTGAACAAATTCCTTAATTTCTTGAATCTCGTGTTCATTTTTAAAACGAGGAGATAAAGGACCTGCTCTACCTCCCTCACAGGACTGACGTGAGGTTCCTCTGAAATGGCGTGTGTCCGAAAAGCCCTTTGCAGACCTTTAAAGGCCGATGGAGGTGTCAGCCCTTGATTTTGGGGGGCGGCGGCGAGATTTTTTATTTCACCCGGATAAACAGGGGCTGCCGAAGAAAACGCCCTCTTCCTTTTGTCCCTCTGCTCGGCAAAGTAGAGCTATAGAGTTTCCTGAGACACTGAGTGTGTAAATGACCTGGCTGGGGTCACACAATCTGTATCAGAGGCAGTCCTTGAACTCAGATCTCCCTCACTTTCCAGCTAAGATGCCTGGAGCATGGCCCTTGCTGCCTCGTCGTCTTCCTTTTGGTAATAGATTATGTTAACTTGTTATTTGGCTAATAAGTGACACCCACTGTTGTCGTTGGGCCGCTGCTCTCCTTGCCTACCAGCTCTGCAGAGCCCTTTGCTTCTCTAGAGTTGGGGAGTCCCAAATAAAGTGTTCTTTGGGGCAAAGGGTTTTCAGCTTCCAGGTTCATCTGAAATGTTATCCTCAGGAGACTCAAGAAATTTAGCAACCCAGGAGTTAGGGTAATGAAATTCCCTTCTCCCCAAATTAGGAGTAGGAGAGAAATGTGACTCTTGGAAGGTTTAGATCTGTAGGTACAGGGAGATGTACATAGGAATGTTTCATACGGCCATGGATTTAGAGGCCAAGCTCTGATGGAGGCAGGAGCAAGCCAAAAGCCTCCTCCATCTCCTCCTTTGCTTTTTGCCCCTACTTCCTAGCAGTTGTTTCTCAGTATTTCAAGGAGGCCCACCTACGGGCCCAGCTACATACGCTGGGCTAGTCTTTTAAGGGGAGGGAAAGCTTGTGCTTTCTTGTCACTAAAAGCATAAAAATGCCCAGCCTAGGGAGACTTTGGATCTGAACTTTTAGCAGAACCCCTGTTGCCCCCAGGGAATGATGTGTCCATTTGTCATGGTGACTGTGGAGGGGGAGGAGATTAGTTTTGTATCCCCCCTTCAAATTTAAAAGTGCATGTTTTTTACCACATTCTATGGTCCCTGAGGACCTCATTATGTTTTAACTCCCGAGCCTGAATGGCCAGACAGGGACCAGCAGGTGGGAACTTTCTCCACCAATATAGGTCAACTTCTCCCTAACAAAAACATCATAACTGGCTTGATGTGATACTTTAAGGTTCAAAAAACCATTTATTTCCATGACCTCATTAGGACCTCACACAAACCCTGACTGACAGGTACTGTGGATGTTTTTATCCTTATTTGACAGCTAAAGAAACAGGCTGAAAGGTAAAGTAATTCACTAACTTGCCAATAGGCACACAGCTAGTAAATGTCAAAGGCAGCATTTGAACCCAGGTCTTCCTGACTCTGCTATACCATGCTGCTGCTTATATATGTGCATAGAGGAGCATATCTTACAAGCTAGAAGAGTTTGGCATCTGCCTGTCAATGGGTCTCTGGATTTGTGGATACATTGATATGAATACTCTTTTCAGTTGTGCTGATCACTACCTTCTCATTGTGACAATGTCTTTCCATTCATCCTCCGAAGACAAGCTACCTCATGCACTGCCTATTCTTCCCCAGCCTCTCTGCTGATCTCCAGTCTCACAACTCCAACTGCCTTTCAGACCCCTTAAACTCAGAGTCCAACACTCCAACCCAGTCCAACACAGAACTCATCATCTTTCTCCCTAAACCCTTCGCTGCCCCTCCTAACTTTCCTATTACTGTCAAGGGCACCGTGAACCTCCTAGGCCCTTAGGCTCACAACCTTCCTCACTGTCTCTCACTCCCCATAGCCAATCTGTTCCCAAAGTCTATCGATTTCACCTTTGTAACGTCTCTCTCTTATGCCCTCTTCTCTCCTCTGACACTACCTCATCACCTCATGCCTGGACTATTGAAATAGTGGTGGGTCTGCCTGCCTTAAGTCTCTCACTTCTCCAATCCACCCTCCCTCCATTGAGCCACCAAAGGGATTTTCCTAAAGTACAGGTCTGATCATGTCACCCCTTACTCAGTAAACCCCAATGACTCCCTATTGCCTCTGGAATCAAATACAAGATGCTCAGTTTGACTTTCAAAGTCCTTTACAACCTAGCCCCCCCCCCCCCCTTCCCATCCCCCCCCCCCCACCGTGTCTCTGGCCTCCTTGCTCTTCCTCAAATAACACCCTCCATCTCTTGGCTCTGGGCATTCTCTGTGGCCGTCCCCCATTCCTGGTACACTCTCCCTCCTCATCTCTGCCTCCTGGCTTCCCTGACTTCTTTTAAATCCCAATAAAAATCCCATCTTCTCCACTAAGCCTTTCCCAACCCCTCTTAATTCCAGTGCCTTCTTTCTCTTATTTCCTATTTACCCCGAACATGGCTTGTTCACACATAATTGTTTATGTGCTGTCTCCCCCATTAGATTGTAAGCTCTTCTAGAACAGAGACTTTCTTTTGCCTCTTTTTGTATCCCGGGTGCTTAGCACAGTGCCTGGCACATAGTAGGCACTTATTAAATGTTTATTGACTGCCTGATTAGCTTCTGCTAGGTCTGTTACCATTATGTAGGTGCTGGTGTTGTGCGTTTATCTTTTTGTTCTTACAACATGATGGATTCCCCTCTTTTCTCATCACACATTTTCTTCCTAGGGGAAATCCTTTTTCTCACTTCCTTTGGTGCAGGTCAGTGCCAGCTTTAGGTTACAAACCATTTTCTAGATTTTGGACATGACCTGCTTCCATCAGGCAGAGCGTCACAAATGCATTTTTTCAAACAGGATTCTCCTCTCTGCGTCAGTAACTCTACAGAGGGGACCTACCATAGCATTGCCTAACTCTGCTGCACTGGAGACAAATAAGAGAAACGCAACTCTTGCTGCACTGTTTTTTGTGAATTATAGAGCACACAAGAAGTAGTGATGGATGAAAACTTAAAAGGTGTCGGTATGGTTCTGTCCTCAAGGAAAAGAGGAAGGAAATAATTCTTGTACCGTGTTTGACCTAAGTCTATCTTTAAAATCAAATTACTTCAGTGTCCCGGAGTATCTGTTGACCATTATGTTTGACTCTACCCCAGGCTGTCTTTTCACTTTGGACACAGGTAGTCAAGGTCCCCCTTCAAGCATTGTCCTAATTCCACCTCTGAGAATCTCCACAGCAGCGTCCTGGTCCTGGACAGCCTGCTCCAGGCTCTTTGCCTGCCTTCTCCCATTTTTACCTCCTTCATGAAGCATTTCTAAGCTTTAGGTCAGTTGATCTCTCTGTCTACCCTTCCTAACCTGGACACAAACTTTTCAGATATTTTGCCTTTATTTCCCATCAGCAATCTTCCTCTCCCCTCCTTCCCCCACCCCCAACTTTTGAAATGCATTTGTGAGTCAGCAATGGGACATGACAGCTGGAAAAACACATTTAATATTGGGTTGTACTTAAAAAGGGATTAGAGAAGGAATGATTTTGTTCTGCTCTACTGTAGTCTACCTCCTCCCTAGGAGACCTTGGCCAAGTCTCTTTGTACCACAGTTTCCTTGGGGGTCTCTTTTAGTTCTAACTCTGTATTCCTATGTACACATCTGGAATGTTTGGTTTAGTTTTAGGAAGCATTTCTATCTTTCGAGGAAGGATTTGACAAGCTGGAGAGTTCAGAGAAGTGTGCCCAGAGTTGTGAAACGCCATGTTGAAATGGGCTGCAGGAAGTGGGGATGTTCAACTTCAAAAAGAGAAGATGAGGAGGTGGGCATGGTAGCTGCCTTCAAGTGCTCAAAGGGGATCCCAATGGTGAGGAATTAGACATTTTTGTTCTGACCTTGGAGAACAGGACTAAAGTGGCTAATTTAGACTTGATCCAAAGCAAACTTCCTTAAATCCAGAGCCATCCCAAGGTGCAGTGGTCTGCCTCAGGAGGCGGTGGGCTCCTCCCTCACTGGACGACTTCAAACAAAGACTGAATGACTGCTTTCCCAGGATACTGTAGAGGGCATTCCTAGCCAAATTGGCGATGGGTTGAATTAGAGTTCCCCTTCCAACTTGAAGATGTTGGGATTCTAGGGATTCTAGGATTCTGACTCCGATTAAGAATAACTGAAGATGTCTATGGGAACTTGGGGTGTTCTATAGTAAACACTTGTGGTATTCCCTCACAACATGCTCTGCTATGCAGCAAAACAATATATCGTGTCTGAGACAGTGGAGGTCAGACAACAACAAGCACTTATTAAGTGCTTACTGTGTGCCAAGCACTGTGCTAAGCACTGGAATGTTTGTCTTTTGTTAAAATTCTTCCATTGGAATATTCTTTAACAAAATGAAATTTAGTAGGCTCTGATAAAAAGTATCAATCCAATTATAATTTATATGTAAACTAAAAATAAAGTCATTTCCCTTCCAATTTTATTTATTAACTCTAGATAGCTATTTCATGTGAACAAAAAAATGTTTAGAATACCCAGAGGGTCAGCAAAAAGTTTTTTTTTTTTTTTTTACACCAGAGTCATAGGCATTTTTACAACTTCTTTCAGGGGTGGATCCATCTAG